TGGTGGTTTGTCCCTTTTATGAACTTTGGACCTCTTTTGTTGAGTTAAGCCTTCCCTTTTGATATGAAAGACAGATCTGAGGTCCCCTAGTCATTTAGAAGTATAAAAATGGAAGCTTGATGAGAGATTTGCCTCATGCTTGGGTAAAAGACCTTGGAAAGGTCTTAATGGAGTGGTTGTGTGTGTATGAGACATGCAAGGGCATAAAGTTGCCAACTTTATGCCTTGGGACATCTTTTCAGACTTGGATCTAGCTTTTGGACGTGAGGGATTCGAGCATTAAGCACTTAATGGGAAAAGTGCTTAATACGGTTGTACGCTGGGCGTAACTGTCTGTACGCAGCGCGTAGTCGCTAGACCTTAAGTACGCTGCGCGTACCAGGGAGGTACGCTGGGCGTACGCAGCTCAGTTGGGCCCTAAGCTGTTTTTGGCCTTTGGGCCTCATTTGGCTGATAAGCCTGATTGGATTCTGTAAGATTGAGGCCTTTTCATCAGTTTGGGCCGAGGACTTATTGGTTGGGCCTTATTGGGCCAAAGGGCCCATTAAGGATATTGGACTTAGATTTTCGGGCCCAATTTGCAAGAAAAGGGTAATTGGGCCTTGGGGGTAGAGTTTGAAGGTTAGGCCTTTCCTTAGGTAATTTAAGGTCTTATCATTGATTATATATTATTGTTATTATTCAGCTTGGGAGGTTGCGGATTTTTGGGAGGGCAGTATTTGTATTCATCGGACGGAGGTGAGTCTTCTCACCATACCTATGGGTCTATGGCACCAAGGCCGGCCCATTATGTGATCATGTTATGTGTGTGTTATTCATTTATGAATTGATATGTTATGTGATATTATGTTGGTATGGAAGACCCTAGGGGGGAGCCCGTGGCATTGGATATAAGACCATGTGGGGTAGCCCATGGCAGTCCTAGGTAAAGACCATGTGGGGTAACCCATGGCATTGGATGTAAGGCAATGTGGGGTAGCCCATGGCGGTCCTAGGTAAAGACCATGTGGGGTAGCCCATGGCATTCTTGCTTAATCATATTGTATAGTTTCTGTGGCATGTTTATAGCTTATTTAGCTATCAGGATATGTGTATGTGAATGTGTGTGGTATGCTCTGGGAAACTCACTAAGCATTTCGCTTACAGGTTGTTGATTTGTTTCAGGTACTTCTGAGCCTAAGGGCAAGGGCAAGGCGTGATGACGTGGCGTGCACTCTATCTTTCTTTTGATGTGTTTGGGACCCTCTGATGTTTTAAAAAGGAAAAAAATGATGTAATGAATGTTGGTTTGAAAACAAATGTTTTGGGATTTTATGGTTTATGAGATTGGTTTTGGTTAACTAAAAATGAAAATTTTTCTTGATAAAATTGGGTCGTTACATCTCAGGATCCCGACTATTACCGTTATTATTATTTACTAACATTTATAACGGTTATGTTTTGTTCTTAATTAACACATGTGCAGAAATAGTCAAGAGAAAACTTATTCTTAACAGAGAGTCGTCTCAACTACGCTAAAGACCCGGAATACCAAGTCAAACATCGTTCATAAAGCTGGTCATAGAGGATCCCGGGAATATCGGACATCTTGTTAGCTAGTTTAGACTATAAATTGACACATGTACCTCGCACACGACACACTCTACTTACTCTTAGCTTACTCTACGAACTTCTTCACTTATTGTTACTGAAATACTATCTGTAATCATCATCTTATATGAATAAAATCATCAAGGCAGGTGATCATTATCACCTCCCAAGGTTTTGTGGCGGAGATCCTAGCAAGGATCAAGGGTTTTCCTTGTAAACAATCGTGTCATTCTTTTTACCTTTCTCTATTGCACAATTCGAACATCAGAGCCTCTCATTCAATTTGGTTTATTTATACTTGTGTAATTTTTGACCAAAACTAATGTGTTACACATTCCATCATCCTCTCAATAGGTTGATATTTTCACTAAATGATTGTCTTCTACATCCTCTCAATAGGTTATTATTTTCACTAAATGATTGTCGTCTACCTTGTTTTTGGGTTTTTGATCCAATCTGAATGTTCACAACAATCGTCAAAATCAAGATGCACCAGGGGTAGCTCTAAGTATATCATTATATTAAGATTATATTAATTTTGTATTCATCCCATTGTACATATATAATATTTTCATTGTATCATCTATTTAAATTACCTATATATTTCTTGTACATATATAATCTTTTCATTGTATCGTCTATTTAAATTACCTATATATTTCTAATTAATGAGATTATTATTATGCGAAAAGATTTTATTTATGATTGAACTTTGTAAAGTTTAGTGGATGAGGGATTTAAATGAATAAATTATATTATATAAAAAAATAGTGATTTTACACTCCATTTTAGATTGCAAATTAAATTGGTTAATAAATGTGTGAGTTTTAAATAGAGAAAAGGGCATATGTACGACATAGACGTTTTTCTTTCTCATGAGAAAATGGACAAAGCTAAACGAAATACGGATGAAAGTCGTATAATGTCTCTTTCCAATTACTGGGTTTAGTTTTTCTAGTTCGCTGAACTTAGTTTGTGAAATTAGCATTAGCAGACACAATCGAGCCAATGCCCACTTTATCTTTGCTGAGCACAAGCTAAAATCTTGTATTCATTATGCTCTCAATGATATCTCTTGGTTGCCAAACCCGCATGCTCCTCCACTCTCTCCCCCACCCTTTCTCTCTCCATAACTACACCCCTATATAACCGTTCATAACCCAAACTACTCTATTCTACTTCCACCCATCACAAACACAATTAATATTGCAACAACTATTATACTCCATCACCTTCATCCATGGCTGTTTCTGGTTTCGAAGGCTTTGAAAAACGACTGGAGCTTCAGTTCTCCAGTCATGATCCTGATATCGGCATTGGCCTCAGAGAACTCGAATTCAAGTTTCTTGAACAAGTTCTCCATCAAGTACAATGTACGGTTGTCTCAGCAATTGGCAATCTACACTTTGATTCATACGTCTTGTCTGAATCCTCACTCTTTGTTTACCCTACCAAGATTATCATCAAAACCTGTGGCACCACCCAGCTCTTGAAATCGGTTCAACCATTCATTCATCACGCTAGAACCCTCAACCTTCACATAACGGCTCTTCGTTACACCCGTGGAAGCTTCATCTTCCCACAAGCTCAACCACACCCTCACACCAGTTTCCAAGAAGAAGTAGCGTACTTGGAGGATAACATCCCCGCAAGCCTATGTTACAGAAAAGCTTCTGTAATTCCCTCTAAACTCAAGTCTCACTTATGGCATGTGTTTTCTGCGGGAGCTGTTGAATACTCCGATAACGTACCACTAGACTTATACACGGTCGAGGTGTGCATGACGGATCTTGATCAAACCCTAGCTCGCAAGTTTTTCCGCCATCCAAACGATGGAAAAAACGGTGACTCTGCTGGAAGAGAGATGACGGAGATAACAGGCATCAACCGTATTAACCAGAATGCGCACATATGTGATTTCGCTTTCGACCCATGTGGGTACTCAATGAATGGCATTGACGGCGACCGTTATTCCACTATTCACGTGACGCCGGAGGATGGTTTTAGCTACGCAAGCTTCGAGTGCGTTGCGTCTATTTACAATGACGACATGGCGGATATGGTGAAAAAAGCCGTGAGAGTTTTTGGTCCAGGGACAGTTTCCGTTGCCACCACCAGCGCCAGTCAGGACATGTGTACACGTATAAAGGGTGCGGTGGAACAGCTTGGGATGAAGTGCCGGAGTTTCAGTATGGATGAGTTCCCAGCTGCAGGCACGGTGGTGTTTCAAACGTTCACAAATCGCCGGAATAGAATATAAATGAAAACGATAAAAGGGGGACAATGGGTGCATGCATGATGACTATGAGGATGATGTGATTATGTTGCATGAGTGATACCAATGTGCATGTCATAGGATGGTGGGGTTGACTTGTGTAGAAAGATATATTAATTAGAGAGGTTGAGGGAGATGATCTTGAAATGGCAAATCTTGAGGGGGATGGTGTGTGTGTTCATCTACATCATGATAATGTACCCCACTATGGTGTGTCACGCCTAAGATTTTGAGGAATGTGTTTTCAAGTGGATTAAATTTGGTTCATTGTCATATTCTTTTAGTAAAATAGTTTTGTTTTTATGGAATATCATAAGATGTTACATATTTCTATCTTATTTTTGGATTTTAACAAATCTTTCTGATTTTAGTTATAGCATAAATGGTTCACCAAGCGGACAAGTGAAAGAACAAGCAAAACTACCAATAGTCATTAAGCGGAATTTGATCAATATCAACCGGAATGATATAAATGAAGGAGCTATGTAATTTAAAAATATATATATTGAAAGTTGACATGTGTCAAAATTTTAATAGTTATGAATATTTATAGATAGAAAACAATTTAATTTGTTTTAATCAAAATATATATTACATTTAATTTCATACAAATCAATCGGATAAGACAGCATAGCGGGTCAAAAACTACAAAAGCTTTGACTTAGAAAAGTATTGTGTCCCCGTTATGTCAAATTACAAAGCTTTTAAGTAGAGATGTTTATAATATTTATAGTGTTTCATTTCGGAGAGTCCTTTAAATTACAGTCCCAATTTACCCATGTTGAATCTTGATTATTACAAAATTAGTCACATTAGTTTAATCACGTATGTCGGGTCCTTTTAATTTATCTCATTAACAATGGAATACTTATTCAATTATTAATTGACACGTAGACGAAAATAATTGCATTACATAAAAGCTCATTATACAATTAAGTTCAGCTAATTACGCATGCATATGCACGAGGGTGACAACACAAGGCGGCA